ACTTCGAAAAAAATTGCTATTTTTAAAAAATACGGGATGCGAACGAATTCAGCAGAAAACTTGATTTTAAATCTTTTCTAAAAATAACCACATTACATTTTTAGGCTCTTGAAATGTTATAAAACATTTTTAAAAAATTGCAATTTTATCATCCGGGTGCTTTGCTTGAATGACACCAGCGGAGCACCTGGATTTTTAACTTTTTTTTAAACTATGCCATATTTTTAGGCTTTTGAAATATTATAAAACTTTTCTAAAAATACACTTTGCTAGCTTCGAACGAAGCCAGCAGAGTACCTCGATATTATAAATCTTTTCTAAAAAATACACTTTGCTAGCTTCAAACGAAGCCAGTAGAGTACCTCGATATTATAAATCTTTTCTAAAAAATACACTTTGCTAGCTTCGAACGAAGCCAGCAGAGTACCTCGATATTATAAATCTTTTCTAAAAAATACACTTTGCTAGCTTCAAACGAAGCCAGTAGAGTACCTCGATATTATAAATCTTTTCTAAAAAACACTTTACTAGCTTCGAACTAAGCCAGCAGAGTACCTCGATTTTTTAAAGCTATTTTCTAAAAACCACATAATATTTTTAGGCTATTTTTGGTCTCTTGAAACATGAAAAGCTTCTAAAAAAATTGCTATTTTTTTAATACTCTGCTGGAACGAAGCCAGCAGAGCTCTTTAAAAGTAGCATATATTTTAAGAGCCTAAAAGTAGCCTAAAAATGTTATGTGGTTGTTTTTAGAAAAAACTGATACCCTGATGGCCTCGGTCGAAGCTAGCAAAGTATTTTTAAATATAGCAGTTCTTTCGAAAAGCTTTATAATATATCAAGAGTCTTAAATGTGGCTATTTGTTTTTAAAAGAAGAAAAAAAAACGGGTGATCAAAAAAACACCCTGTATTATACAAAAATAGCAATTTTTTTAGAAAAGTTTTATAATATTTGGCTTTGTTAGAACCTAGCATTTTTACAGATTTCTTTTTTTTTTTGTTTGAAAAGTTGCTTTAAAATACTGAGGTGCTCTATTGTTTTGGTTCGAAACTAGCAAAACACCCTGTATTTTTAAAAAAAAACCAATTTTTTCGAAAAGTTTTATAGTTGATAAAAATGTGGTGTGGTTATTTAAAAAAAAAAACTTAAAAAACCGATGTGCTTTGCTCACTTCGTTCGAAACTAGCAAATCGCCCCATATTTTTTAAACTCCAATTTTTTCGAAAAGTATTATATTATTTTGAGAGCTAAATTTTCTTTAAAAAAAATTTTTTACAAGTTAGTGCCTGGTCAAATTATAGTGAGTCAAGTTAGCATGTGACAAAATAATCCAGTATTCTAATTAAAATTAAAAAAAAATTAACAATTTACCTAACCTTGGGTGACTTGAAGCCATTACGTGGCGCTTGAAAAAAATTATACATAAGGAGAAAAATAAAAAAAAAACTTAATAAATTTACATAACCTGTGCGGCCTAGAGCCATATACAGCAACTCGCGATGGCTTCAGGGTAGATTGATTAACTGGAATATTTTGTCATGAATCGAGAATGTCTATAACTTGCTGTCATAATAAGGACGAATCTGATCCAAGAATGACGTTATCCTTAGTAAGTAAAATCAAAGAGCGTCGAAAATAATTTTCAATATCTGCTGTTTTCCTTTTGATACAATTCAACTCCTGGTGCTAGACAAATGAATTTGTTTTCAGGAAGGAAACGTTCGCTTGACGTTTCTATGGGACAGTCTTCGAGTTTATTATCATTTCCTTTATTTTTATTTTGGTCACATTTGAGTATTGGAATGTATTTCCTCCTAAATATGAGCCGCGTTTGAGAATCCACATCGGATGCATCTGAGATGTAGTAAATCTTTGATCACGTGATTCAGTATACGTAAATGTAATGGGACAGATGTGTCCGATGTGGATAAAAAAAACGCTCGAGATGTAAAAAATGCACCCGATGTGGATTCTCAAACGCGGCAATAGATGTACAGTGTAGTGTATACATGGATGGAGTTTACAAGTGGATAAAAATCGTTATTAATTTGATGAGAAAAATCATTATTTCAAAAAAAAAAAAAAATGCTTGTCATATAAATAAGTATTATTACTTAAAATTTTTATAAAGAAAAGTTGTTTGTAATTCAAAATAAAACCAGAATAAAAATTTTTAAATTAAAATTCATTTTTTACAATTTATTAAAACAGTAGAAAAATGTGCTGAGGTGAAAGGTACATAAAATAAGTGGAAATTTGATTTGAAAAATTGAATTCAGGCTTTATTTTAGATTAAAAGCACTTTAAAAAATTGTACATATAAAACTAATTCAAGTAGGTACTTTTCTCTTGAAATATTTTCATGTTTTATTTTATTAACACCCTTTATATCTAATCTAAGATTTCTAGATGATAATATCATCTTCACTAAAATAATATTTTTTAATAAATAATAGCTTTTGAGTTTTGAATAATGAAAACAGGTGACATTTTTGCGGCGATATTATAGTTGTAGACTAGAGAATAATAAAAGTTGATTAAATGACGTCTATAAAAGTAACCTTGAAAAATTAGGCATTTTAGGGATTAAAGCCCCACTTTTAATCTACCTATAGAAACCAGCCAAGTTGGCTAGAATCTAATTTAGTTCGAACTGTGAAATACTGCCACAAAGATAGAAAATATCCAATACATCTTGCTGCACATATTTTTCCTTAAGAGACGTTTTTAAAATGCAACTTAAGGAGTTACATTCATATATTTAAAATTCCTTTATTTTACCGAAAAAATCCAGAGGTAATTAAATATTATTTACTAGGGGCCTATTCTGTAACGTTTTAGTTAATTTTAACCACTAGGTTAAAAGGTTATTTATAAATATGCCATTTAAATTTTAACCCAAATCTCTACTCGCTATTTCATCAACTTTTTGTTATTAGTTATTTTATAACCCAGCCCTTGTTAAAACAGACATGGCAGCCATGGAATATACCTAAAAGTCCATATAAACTAAGGCCCAACGCAGCATTTAAAATAAGAAAATATATTTGACAATGTAGTTTTAACCAATAATACAGAATATAAAATTAAAAATAACATCCGGTTATTTTTATATATATATTAACTTAGGGTTAATTTTTAACGCTACCAGGGGTCTATTCTGTAACATTTTAGTTAATTTTAACAGCCAGGTTAAAAGGTTATTTATTATGACATTTAAATTTGAACCAAAATCCCTATTCAATATTCCATCAATTTGTGCTATAACCAATCATAGTTAAAATAGACATGACACCGATGTAATATACCTAAAAAGTGAATTGGAAGTAAGCCTAACGCATTAAAAATAATATATTTGACAGATAATCATTCTAGATTTATTACTGACACAAGTTATAATTTTAACCAAATAATATAGAATACAAAATTAAAAATAATATCCAACTTGTATAATCCAGGGTTAATTTTAACCAAATTTTTACGGAATAGACCCCTCAGTATATTTAATAAATAAAAGTAAAAATTTAACTTTTACATATACCTCCCCAATAACAGTACCTGGCACTATGCTAGTAAGATTACAATAGGTACATAAACCCCTCATATGTGAGCCTAAACAAGGGACATTTTCATCTATATCTCAGTAAGGTCACCTATTTAAAAAAGAACCAAACAAGAATTATTAAAGACAATGCAATTCTGAGGACATCCACTGTATATCCTCATGAATTCTTCAACTGTACATATTTGATGGCAAATGCCTGTGGCCTGTTTATTTGGGTGGGACACATGCAAGGTCTCTGTGAGAACTTTATTTGGAATATCATTTCATTCACATATTTGCACCAAATATGCATCGAATCCTGGATTACTCTACAAATTAATTAAATGCAACGTGCATAATAAAATAATCTTTATTAAACTAGATAATCACTACTACGAGGAAAAAGGACTTTTAAAGTACTCGTAAGTATACATTTCTTTGAATATCACAAAGGGGAGGGTTAAAGTCTTGCTTTAACGAATTTAAGAAGCAACCAGGGGGTTGGAGGTTAGTTGTAAAGTTTAAATTTAATAGCCGATTTAAAGGAGAAAAAATATGGTTAGGGTTTAGCTACTTCTAAAGGTTATGATAAAAATAATTTGTATAAATGGAACATTATTTTCAGAAGTGGCTTAGCTCAGTGCTACACTTTTGATGCAAAGGAAAAGATCTGGTAAAAGCTAGAAAGTCAGTTTTTTATGTTATTTAATTTTTGCTGTAACTAGACTTGCTATGTTTTTCTCTAAACATATTTTCAGATTTGGGTTATCTCTTTAAATAAGGGCTTTACGAATTTATAGAACCTAGTAAGTCTCATGTTTCAATAAATTTAACATGTACAAAAAAATAGCATGTCACTTTTGTACACTAGAATAGATAGTAAGTCAGACTTGCTTTCTTTAAATTTAGTGAATTTTTTTTTAGTTAATTTTATTAAATTTGAGAAACGTAGTATCTTTCTATTTACTATGTTCTCATAATTGATAATAAGGCACCATCTACTTCAGACACATAGCATGTCTAAAGTTACTATCTTTTAGTATATTTCTCATTTTTGAGATATGGAAAAAGGTACATAAACCTATAGTAGAACATAAGACTTATTTACTATGTTTTGTAAGAGATTATAATAATTTTATTAACTTTTCTCATGGCAAAACATAACATGTCTCTTTATTGCAGAAATGAGTGTTCGGCCGTAATTTATTTTCATTATGAAGAGGAGAAAAATTTTGAGTTTTGATCTGTTGAGTTCATAGGTATTTTAAGTAGTTGTGACAAATAAAAAAAATATAAAATCATATTTTCCCATGAAACAAATTAAGTGTTATTTCCTACTTTTGACCATTGCACAGCAGTTATATAGTAATTATTTGCAGTTTTTGTGGAGGTAATTTGAAAACTTTTGGATTTGTTAAGGAAAACAAAAAAGAATTACATTCTTAATTGTAATACTTTTATTTAAATTCAAATATCAGCTTGCAATTGATTTCCAACTAACTGAATTTTTTCTCCTGGTTTAAAAGCTGGCATTCCTAAATATGGACAACTGGCACATCTGAATGCATCTCCTAAGTAACAACTTCCACATGAAGATTTTGGCGCATCTTTAGTATCAATAATTTTTCCTTCTGTAGCCAATTCATCCGCTAAACCACATGAACAGTCTTTGCATGCTTTACGTTTTCCTGTAGTTCCACAAACTCTTAAAGAAGCTGGATCAGGTTTTTGCAAGTCATCATCGTCCAGCAAATCATTTGGATCTATGGTTTCAACATCATCTTCAAGTCCATCATCCAATTTCCAAACAGCAGGTACTTCCTTTTTAAGTAACTTTAGAGGTACTGAAGAACCAGATGCATAGTTGGGCTTAAATGCAGTTACAATGTTATCAAAGATTTTAATATTTACAAACCCCTTTGTTATAAGTTCAAGTTTTGTCTTTTCTTCATCTGCATTTCTAATTATTATTTTACCTCCAGAAGCTAATATTTTCAAAATACTTGAGATTAGAGTGCTTTCCGGTGCTTCACAATATACTGCAACAACTGATTCATACTTAGAAATATCTTGTTTGGGTATAATTTTGGAATTCTTAAAATGTTCCAGTATTTTATTAAATGATTCAGACCTATTTATGCTTTCTATAACAAGAATTTCTTCAGTAGAACTTAAATCACTCAGAAAATCCATTATTATTAGAATAGAATAAGTAAAATCACAAATCACTTTAATTTTTCTATGACAAATCACAGATGTTTTAGTTTTTCTATGTCACAGATGATGATGATGATTGATGACGGATGACGGTACCAGTGTTGCCAACTATTTTGTTTGAAAGATCGTACAAACCCCACATACTTTGATTTTCTTTTACTATACGGAGAATGGTCGCACTGCGCAGCTTTCTGAGTGCCTTTTAAAAGGCGATAGAAAACTCCGCCATTTTGAACCCTTATTACGTGTTGCCTACATCTTGGCGCAATATTTTTAATAGGTGCGTTTTAATCATCCGCTTCTGCTTCGGAATTGTCACGTTTTCTTGTTTTAATCTGACAGGTTAAAACGACTAAACCGACAATTCCGGAAGCAGAAGCGGATGATTAAAACGCACCTGATATTTTGCTTGCTGCTGTCAGTGTCAGTGAATATTATTTTTGAAGTCACAGTTTATTGCTAAATAATCAGTTAGCTCACTCGGACCAGTTGAAAGTTCCAATTGCCGCGTTTTAGAATCCACATCGGATGTATCTGAGATGTTGCGAATTTTTTAGCACGTGATAGAGAATTAGATCTGAATGTAGATGTAATAAACAAACGCTCTATACTTTATTTGGGCACGTGATAAAATGTCAATGACAAGTTAGAAGTTTATATATACTTATTAAATTTGACTTTTGAAACTACAAATCAACCTAAATTTGAAATATAAACAAAAATTAGGCAAACTAATCACTTTTATATTCATGCTAGCATAAACAAAGGATAAATTGGCTGCGTTCATCCGCGCCACATGCTACGTGATCGATCTGGTAGCGCTCTCGAGTGGCACGTATGAACGGTGTATTTTGACATTTCGCTCAAGGAGCGGCCGCCATTAAAAGTAGCGCATTTTATTTACGTCTGATCGGTGATCACTGATCTGTCTTATGCACTTAGGTCCACGGTTTGCTTGGTGACTAGTAGGGTTATATTAGCATATTAGCAATTGAAAAATAAACAAACAAATCTTCAACCAGAGACATTCAACTCAAAAATAAAATGAATAAACCAAAATCAAATGTCACTTTTAAACATGGTTCATCCGTGCATAAAGATCGATCAGGTAGCGTAAGTGATCGCTACTTTTGTAGCGCTCCTTGAAATGGCGCGGATGAACGCAGCCATTGACAAACAAGGCTTCACAGAACACTTACTTTCTGGCATGGAACGAACATCTCATTCACATCTCATTCCAAATCGAGATGTAAAAAATGTAATCTGAACAGGTACATCTGGGATAAACAAACGCAGATGTAGATGTAGTAGATGTGTCCGATGTGGATAAAAAAACGCTCGAGATGTAAAAAATGCATCCGATGTGGATTCTCAAACGCGGCAATTATAACATCCTCTCCAGGGATACAAATTCAGGATACGCAGAAGACTGCTCTTTTATTATAGGCGGTTGTCATATATTGTATTATCCGAGTTTCACAGTGTATAAACTGAAATATTGAGATCCAAAGTGCCGACGCAGAGTGAGCGATCTGATTCTTTAGCTGTAAACTGTGTCACAGGGTTCAAAATGGCCGCGTCCTATGTTGGGCGTGTCGGACCTCTCTCTTGCCTCGTATAGTAATCAAAGTATGTGACAAACCCACATACAATGGTTGCGTTCATCCGCGCCATTTCAAGGATCGCTACAAAAGTAGCGATCACTAGGCGAGTTCGGATAGTCAGGGGCTGGAGCACATACTTTGATTACTATACGAGGCAAGAGAGAGGTCCGACACGCTCAAGATAGGGCGCGGCCATTTTGAACCCTGTGACACAGTTTACAGCTAAAGAATCAGATCGCTCACTCTGCGTCGGCACTTTTGATCTCAATATTTCAGTTTATACACTGTGCAACTCGGATAATACAATATATGACAATCGCCTATAATAAAACAGCAGTCTTCTGCGTATCCTGAATTTGTATCCCTGGAGTGGATGTTATTTTGGAACTTTCAACTGGTCCGAGTGAGCTAACTGATTCTTTAGCAATTAAATGTGACTTCAAAAATAATATTCACTGACACTGACAGCAGCAAGCAAAATATCAGGTACGTTTTAATCATTTGCTTCCGCTTCCGGAATTGTCGGTTTAGTCGTTTTAACCTGTCAGATTAAAACAAGAAAACCGACAATTCCGAAGCAGAAGCGGATGATTAAAACGCACCTATTAAAAATATTGCGCCAAGATGTAGGCAACACGTAATAAGGGTTCAAAATGGCGGAGTTTTCTATCTCCTTTTAAAAGGCACTCAAAAAGCTGCGCAATGCGACCATTTTCCGTATAGTAAAAGAAAATCAAAGTATGTGGGCTGGAGCGGGACAGATTTTAGGGTGCTTTTAAATGACATTTAAGCATGTTAAACTGTCACTAATCGGACTAAACCGAACGCTAAAAGGGTCGTTTGGAGTTAAAAGTGTTAAAGGAGTTAAAGGAACTTGGCAGACCGAACGCAATGACTTACGCTACCTGATCGATCTTTGTGCACGAATGAACCATGTTTAAAAGTGACATTTGATTGTGGTTTATTCATGTGGTTTGTTTATTTTTCAATTGCTAATATAACCCTACTAGTCACCAAGCAAATCGTGGACGTAAGTGCGTCAGACAGATCAGTGATCACCGATCAGCGTAAATAAAATCACTGAACTATATATTAATCAAGGTCGGTGAAATAAAATGCGCTACTTTTAATAACGGCCGCTGCTTGAGCGAAATGTCAAAATACACCGTTCATACGTGCCACTCGAGAGCGCTACCAGATCGATCAGGTAGCATGTGGCGCGGATGAACGCAGCCAATCATTGCGTTCGGTCTGCCAAGTTCCTTTAACACTTTTAACTCCAAACGACCCTTTTAGCGTTCGGTTTAGTCCGATTAGTGACAGTTTAACACGCTTAAATGTCATTTAAAAGCACCCTAAAATTTGTCACGCTCCAGCCCCTGACTATCCGAACTCGCCTTTTGATTACTATATGAGGCAAGAGAGAGGTCCGACACGCCCAACATAGGGCGCGGCCATTTTTAACCCTGTGACCATTGATAAGGCAACGTAAGGATACGTCATATGTATTATTTTTGATATACAAAAGTGGGACCGGTAGGCGTGGCTTTTGCACTCACTAAAATGGCGGAAGAGCAGAACCGGATTTACAAGTTTTTATTGTACTATTTCTGGTTAAATATCATTATTTGAACTATAAAAAAATGAATTTCCTTTTTATTGACATTGACTTAAAAGGTAGTGGAAGGCCGAGGTTATAAAAGAAGGGGGTTTAAAAGCTTAAATATGCCCGGTTTTCAGCCGAAAGTTGCTGAATAAAGTAAATGAAAGAAATAAAATATAACTGATTTAATTATCACTCAAGTGGCTATTAAGCGCTGGAGAATATATTATTTGCAAAATTGCAACTAATCAATATGACCATCATTCGGCATCATATAACTAACTTGGGGCCGATTCCACCATTGGGTTTAACGAAGTTTAAAATGACATTTTTACATAAAATTTAATTTTAATCTTCAATTAATAGTTTAAACTTTAACACAATGGTGGAATTAACCCTAAAGCGTTGAAATCATTCACAGAAAAAATAAATAGTACATTTTTGGTTCACATAAGCGACAAAAGTAAACAGAGTTCGATTTATTGGATCAGTCGTCACACGTTTGCACTAGGGCACATAAATAGCTCAATCTTTAGTTTTTCGTTTTTCTATGAGCCCAATGCTTCTGTCTTTATCGCAAATGTCAAGTAATCTAACCATGGAGGAAGAATCTTTAATTAACAGCTTTCTCGAAATTAAGAACAAATGTTCATACACTAAAAGCTCGATAATCAGATATGAAACTTAATGCAAGGCTCGCGGAAAATGGCTAATAAGCAATCTCTGTGTAGGTAGATGCACTATTCAGGAAATCAAAATGTGGATTAATCTTACTTGGTCTTGGTACTTTTGTAGATTCAGACTGAAAGGTGTATACAGAGATAACGTGTATATCTTCATGCAAGACATTCAGTAAATCAGCGAAGCCACAACCAGCTATGTGCAGATGCACTTTTAACAAATGTAAAATATGAAGTGATCTTACTTGAGACCTATAGATCCAATGACAATAGTATGGTAGTTGGTTTGAGCTGGGCTTCTCACTATCTGCAGAGATTATGGCAACTTATGTAAAGGCCTACCCTAATAACACACAACATGCACCACAAGCGTGCCGGTCCAATTTAATTGGTCTATGCACAATAATCATGCATGTATAATTGAAAGTCAGACAAAGAATGTTAAGATAAAGTTGAAGTCTCAATCATAAAGTCACAGATGAAGTTAAAGTTAACAGCAAAAGAGTTGAAATTGTAGGATGGTGATAAAGGGAGGCCAACATCTAGGTAATAAATGTTTATTGAGTTAGGAAAAGTATCCACTGTGCTTTTCTTAACCACTAAGGTAAAAACCAGAATATTTTCTAATACACAATTTCTTCGCTAGGCAAAATAAGAAATAAATTTGTGAGAGTACTTCCCAAGTGTTTTTCCAAAAGCTCTAAGGACAAAATTGACGAAAATGGCCTAATCCAAGTTCAAATTCTAAAACTTGAACATTAAAGATAAGTATCTTACTGTAAAAAAAGTAAAACCCAGTTGTTGACTAAATGGTTGAATAATTCATTACCAATAGGTGGAGGTAGAACAGGGACTAGAGTTTAGCAGAAAAAGCTACTAGAAAAGGTGAACAAAACAAACTGGGGCATATAAACGTCAAGCAAATATTGTAAATGCAAATAATGTGTGCTGTGATTAAATAAAAGTGTACAAGGAATAAAGTTTTAATATTTTCTTATCCATATCTATGAGTGATATTTATTTTTAATACTAGACAAACGGTTTTGATTTTATTGCTAATCTCATTAAAAAAAGACTAATGTTATTTTTTTTTTCGACTTATGGCCAAGATGTATATACCTAATATGCCAGTCTCAAGCTTGTGTTTAAATTCTTAATAATTGTGTTATGTGTAGGCTTTGTTACTGTTTCCCAGCGCCACTTCAGGAACAGCACTGTTAATTATTAGAACCCAACAGTGAATGGTCGAGTGGGGAATCATACCAAGGCATTAGAAAATATTTTTATTATTATTAGAACTTATATACAGTGTGTTCATAATATGCACTGTACAAACTTAAATATTATATTCCTGAATTCATTTCAAGCATAAAATGTCCTATGAACAAATATCCAATTCTACATGGTTACCAAGCTGCAAGAGTTTAAATATCAAAAGATATATTAACACAGTATGCCATGTGTTCCAATATGTCGAAACACAGCACTGAATGTTTGGTGCTTTGGAACTTGTCGGTATGGAAATCGTCGCTTGTTGAGGAGCTGGATAATCTCGAGGTTTCCATGTTGGAGCAGTCGTTGTTGGTGACTACTGGCAAATGTTTATATTGTATTTTCAACAGTCTCCACTTTAAGGTTCCTATGAAGATCAGTATTGTGGCAGTACCATGGTGCATCGACGATGTTCCTTAATACTTTATTCTGGAAACGTTGAATAACTTCGATGTCACTTTTACTGGTACATCCCCAAAGCTGGCGAATCGCTTCATTTTCACCAATTCCTTTAAACGCACTAATCTGAAACAAATTATAGGTAATTAAAAAGGTATATTAATATTGTTTTAAATTAACTATAATAAAACAAACAATACTCATGCATACACAAAACATGAAGCTCTACTTTTCAATCAGCTGTAGAACTAATAAATAAAATTGGTGGAAGGACCGCAAATGTAGGTTATATTTAAATACAAATAAGAATATATAAAATGCCTATAAATTTGATAAACGAAATAGCGTACGATTAATGTACTTCTCAAGAAAATGTTTGGAACATATACAGCTGAATTTAGAAGGTTCCCAATTATGCTTCTTGACAAACTGTATTCACGCGCTACGTTTTTCAGGATTTTTTGGAAATCTATAAATATTATTTCGTATGAAAAAGTATTTATTCCAATATAGGTGGTCCCAAAAGTTGATAGATGATTTTTTTGCATTTTTAAAAGCATACTTTTACACATTTTATACAAACCTGTCATAATACTGTCCTGTATAATATTTATAATTTTGATACTAACCTATGAAACGTTATTCCAGTCGATTTTTCACAAAAACGTCTATCGCTAGAGCAGGAACATATAACACAGCAAGGCATTAAATACTTTATAAGTTTTTAACACTCAAAATTTGCTCAAACACAAATTAAATTCAAATTTAATTACACAAATGACACTAAAAATATAACCTATAGAATTTGACAATTTGCACTCACAGTAATGGCGGACCGGTCCCACTTTTCGTTTACGCATGTCGTATCCCTAGGTTGCCAGATCAATGCCTGTGACACAGTTTACAGCTAAAGAATCAGATCGCTCACTCTGCGTCGGCACTTTTGATCTCAATGTTTCAGTTTATACAATTGCTGCGTTTGAGAATCCACATCGGATGCATCTGAGATGTAAAAAATCTTTGATCACGTGATTCAGTATACGTAAATGTAATGGGACAGATATGTCCGATGTGGATAAAAAAACGCTCGAGATGTAAAAAATGCATCCGATGTGGATTCTCAAACGCAGCAAATGTGCAACTCGGATAATATAATATATGACAACCACCTATAATAAAACAGCAGTCTTCTGCGTATCCTGAATTTGTATCCCTGTAGTGGATGTTATTTTGGAACTTTCAATTGGTCCGAGTGAGCTAACTGATTCTTTAGCAATAAACTGTGACTTCAAAAATAATATTCACTGACACTGACAGCAGCAAGCAAAATATCAGGTGCGTTTTAGTCATCCGCTTCTGCTTCCGGAATTGTCGGTTTAGTCGTTTTAACCTGGCAGATTAAAACAAGAAAACCGAAAATTCCGAAGCAGAAGCAGATGATTAAAACGCACCTATTAAAAATATTGCGCCAAGATGTAGGCAACACGTAATTAGGGTTCAAAATGGCGGAGTTTTCTATCTCCTTTTAAAAGGTACTCAGAAAGCTGTGTAGTGCGACCATTCTCCGTATAGTGAAAGAAAATCAAAGTATGTGTACAAACCACATACTTTAGGTTCTTTCGTTCGTCCCACTGGTGTAGTAATGAACTACACCAACGCACACCATACCTTTCGTTTGGGTCGGTGTAAAACCCACTATACCTTCCTGTCGGCGATGTGGTGTACACTGGTGGATATTTTCTCCACCAGCTATTTAGCAGGAGTGAATTACACTCGACATGTGTATAAGGAATAAGGAGGAAGTAAATTAGGGTAAATAAGGTGGCGTAACTGGTGTAATTTACACTGGTGAACACTACACCAACAGCGAACGAAAGAACCTAGGCAAGAGAGAGGTCCGACACGCCCAACATAGGGCGCGGCCATTTTGAACCCTGTGACACAGTTTACAGCTGAAGAATCAGATCGCTCACTCTGCGTCGGCACTTTTGATCTCAATGTTTCAGTTTATACACTGTGCAACTCGGATAATACAATATATGACAACCGCCTTTAATAAAACAGCAGTCTTCTGCGTATCCTGAATTTGTATCCCTGGAGTGGATGTTATTTTGGAACTTTCAACTGGTCCGAGTGAGCTAACTGATTCTTTAGCAATAAACTGTGACTCCAAAAATAATATTCACTGACACTGACAGCAGCAAGCAAAACATCAGGTGCGTTTTAATCATCCGCTCCTGCTTCCGGAATTGTCGGTTCAGTCGTTCTAACCTGTTAGATTAAAACAAGAAAACCGACAATTCCGAAGCAGAAGTGGATGATTAAAACGCACCTATTAAAAATATTGCGCCAAGATGTAGGCAACACGTAATAAGGGTTCAAAATGGCGGAGTTTTCTATCTCCTTTTAAAAGGCACTCAGAAAGCTGCGCAGTGCGACCATCCTCCGTATAGTAAAAGAAAATCAAATATAAGATAAGGAGGAAGTAAATTAGAGTAAATAAGGTGGTGTAACTGGTGTAATTTACACTGGTAGACACTGCATCAACAGCGAACGAAAGAACATAATAGAGGACTTCTATACAAGGGAAGGGCAACCAACTTGACAAAATAAAATTGACACTAATGACATAAGAAATCGGGTCACATAAAGAGACTGTTTTTTAGTTTGATTTTTGGTTTTTCCTATCTACTTTCATGCCATTTGCATACCTTGTTGTACCCGTAACGTGAAAAAGACTTTTTAGTTTAGGGTATTTTATATTTAAAGGTTGAAATATTTTGTCATTGTCAGCTGTCAATTATGTTGATGATAGAACACAGGCGTAACCATAGATGGGCATAACGTAACTAGTATTGTATGTTGGTTGTATATTTTATAGAACTTGTATTCGTAGCAGCAGCATTTTGCAATCGACATAAATAAATAAAACCAAATGAAAAATAATGTTTCAAGAAAACAGGAGAAACACAATTAGACTAATAAAAACAAAAAATAAAATGCAATGCTACGCTTATGTTTTGACATTATCGACAGCTGATATTGACAAATGTTTTCAACCTTTAAATGTAAAATACCCTAAAATAAAAAGTCTTTTTCACGTTACGGGTACAACAAGGTATGCAAATGGCATGAAAGTAGATAGGAAAAACCAAAAATCAAACTAAAAAACAGCCTCTTTATGTGACCCGATTTCTTATGTCATTAGTGTCAATTTTATTTTGTCAAGTTGGTTGCACTTCCCTTGTATACTTTAGGCGAGTTCGGATAGTCAGGGGCTGGAGCGGGACAAATTTTAGGGTGCACCCTAAAATTTGTCCCGCTCCAGCCCCTGACTATCCGAACTCGCCTATCGAAGTCCTCTATTTTCGGTAATGCGTGACAGACTGACAGAGGACAGAGTGACGCGTGACCGCACTAACTGTGACTAAAGACAAGGGAAACTGGAAAAATTATAAATGAAAATGTGGTTTAGGTGTTGATGTGAAAGTGTTTGTATTATATAGATATTATATCTATAATCTTATTGCCACAATTTTTCTTAATATAGTAATCAAAATGAGCGATGACGATCGAGATATTGACGTGGAGAGCGATGTAAGCTTCTTTTGTAATATTGTGTGCTTTTAACAACCTATCATTGGATCAATACATTTTTATTCAAAACATATTAAAACTTGCGTTTTTAGGAAGGAGATGACTCCGATTCTCGTCAAGCAACACCTAGGCAATCATCGGGAAGTCAATATTATTCACAGGTATTTAGTTTAATTGCATTTAAATCAAGATTCCTTGTAAATTTCCCAATTAAAAAAATTATTAATCGAGACGTAAGCCAAGCTCTACAAATACTTGAGTATTATTTATAGGTAGTTCCTTTTGATAAAACGATGCTCTATTGTAAATCAAAATGAGTAACCTCTTAGAAATTTAAAATTTGGAATACATTTTCTCATCAGTTTTATTTAAAATTTAATTTTTAAAGTAAAGGTTACCGTATTCATGTTCCATACTGTGCTTGATTTTACTATGCGCCTTTTAAATATTTAGTAGATGTAAACAAATACACACAAGCAGAACATGAACATTATAATAATAAAATTGCCTAATTGAGAGCAATCTTAACAAATTTAGTGCTTTAATCTTATATAAAAAAATTATTGAGTTAGCTGTGCTTCTATGTTTAGTCCCCATTTCCTGTTTGATATTTCATTTTCTTGTTGATAACTTTTTATCAAGTTTTGTTTTATTCAGTTACAATACCTAAAATTCTTATATCTAATGGCATTTTCTATTGGAATGTTCAGTGCGTTTTGAGTGTATTCTCACTTTCTTCTTTTCCATATGGATAAACAAGGGCACAGAACATAAATATACTCAGTGTGTACTATCAGTGCCAATGGAAAACACCATAACCTGCATCAATTTGCTGCTAAAGGGGTCTATTTTGTAACAATTCCTTTATATTTAACGGCCTTTAAAAATATTTTCTTTTTTACTTGTCATTATTTAAATGGATCTTTAAAATACATTAGAGTACTATCTTAAAGAAATCTGTTTAAATAATGACAGAAGTAAATTAACGAATATGATAATCTTTTTAAAGGCCACCGATATTTTTAAAGGCCGTTAAAATAGTGAAGGCCTTTAAAAATATTTTTGTATTTACTAAATTACTTCTGTCATTATTTAAACGGATTCCTTTAAAATACATTAGAGGACTATCTTAAAGAAATCTGTTTAAATAATGACAGCAGTAAATTAGTGAATACGAAAATATTTTTAAAGGCCGCCAATATTTTAACGGCCGTTAAAATATAAAGAAATTGTTACAGAATAGACCCCAAAGTCTGATATTGTTCAGTGTTCCTAGACTGAACGGGTGGTCTCATCAGGGAGGGGGGTGTGGCATCACAGAATGAAAAATGAGAAATATCCTGCTACAGTTCATACATTAGTTTTTAAAAAAATCTAATACTTTATTATTGTTTAGTGGTGTTTATATATTTTTTATTTTTGGACTATTTTCCAGTTTTTATAATATCACTTGTTTGATTTTTTGAAAGAATCTACAAAACGTGAAGGAAAAATGATGTAATGATTTTCATAAAATTTCAAATGAATTACTTTTTGTTTGAATTTGAGTAATATTATTTAAAAAATTTTGGGTTAGGGTTGAAATTTTAGCATGCCTGGAGCGAGATGTAGTGTTGCTATTTGCAAACACATTTTAAACAAACAAAAATCATTTATTTATTTACGGTTCAGGGCCCATTAAAACAATATAATTACAGAGAATACATATCACATTCATTAAATAGTAATAAAATCCTAAATAATAAATGAGAATCATAATTTGTTCTATGGAAAGGTTGGGAGAATGTATTAATATTCCTAGTTACTGTAGAGGGTACAGAAAATCCAATTTGGGATAACAAGTAGGGACAATCGGCATATGAGTTAATAATCTTAAACAATAAATTAAGATCCCTTTGGTTTCTTCTGCTCAGAAGGGTCCCAAGATGACAAAGTGTGTGTAATTCATCATAATTGTATCTGAAGTTGACTGACATGATGCCCAATTTAAATACACAAATGCATAAAATTTTTCTTTGAACCTGTTCTATGTTATGAATTAGATATACATTAAAATAATTCCATACAGCGGAAGCATATTAAATATAAGGTCTAACTAATGCACAATAAAGAATCTTTTTAAACACATCACATTATGAAAATCAGAAGTAGTTCTTCTAAGGAAATCCAACATTCTTAATGCTTTATTAACTGTGGCCATTATATGAGTTTGAAAAGAAAGGGTGGAATCTGGTATCACACCCAAATATTTTATCTCTATGATAGAATCCAGTGTTGTCATTGATTTTATAGATATATTCAATAGGACAATGTTTTCTGTTAAAATTGATTACATGACATTTACTTGTATTTAATTCCATGCCATTGGACCAAGTTATCCAAGCCTTTTTGAAGGCAAATACAGTCATATAAGGATAAATCATCAGCAAAGTAAAGGAACTGAGAATTCTTAAAACAATTTTAAATGTCATTGTTATATATATTAAAAAGTAGATGTCCCAAATTTGAAATTTTATGGAAATCATTATTGGATTTTTCCTTGCTGTTTTTTATCTTGTCTTAAAAAAAAACTACCAGTATTATAAAAACTATTAACACTAGAATAGTCCAAAAATAAAAACATAAACACCATTAAATAACAATAAAATATTAGTTTTTGATTTAAAAACTAATGTACAAACCGAAGTAGAATATTTTCTATCAACTTTTCCATTCAGTGATGTCACGCCATCCTTAACAATGGAGATGAAGCCATCCTAGTGTCTACAGACCATGGATATTGATGATGTAATTTATCTAAGCTGACATTGACATTATTTAAGCTTGTCAACTGCTTTGATGCCTACTAACAATTTTGTTGTAAATAATATACCAAATTACAGCTCATTGCAAATGTATTAGGTATATATTTATTTGATTTGTATATTATTGAAACTGGCCAACACTAAATATCTTTGGATAAATATAGACAAAAACAAATGGTTGAAACCTAGTGCAAATTTAACAAGTTAATGACAGATTATTTAAAAAGTTTATGATCTAAGAAAATGTATGAGTAAATGTCTATTGTTTTGAGTTGTATCTGTTATACTTCATTTGGTAAATTATATACAGTGATTTTTACAATGGTGCTCGAATTTAACAATCAAAATTTAATTGATACACCTCAATCTCAATTTAGTTTAGGATGAAATAATTTAAAAACAATTATTATAATAATTATATGTATTTTAAAGATTCTAAAGTTTGAATATATTACAATCCTTTTAAAAGAGATTTATTTTCTTAATTTTAATAATTATCAAAGATGCCTGGATCTTTGGTGAAATTTATTATAAAGCTGAAATATTTTATGTACTTATTTATTTCTTTCTAGTTCATCTTAAAATTGATTATCACATTGTTCAATGTTGAATGACTATTTTAATAATTAAATATTATAAAGTTTTATTCTTAATAGCTCCGAAATGTTAATTATCACATAAACAAGTCTTTAATGCAAAATTTATGTAAATACTGCAATATAAAATTTTTCAAATACATGTAATTAAGAGATTGAGAAATAGATTATTAATGTTATATTAGTCTCCAAATTTTTTTCAGGCTGAAAAACGTGCTCATCACAATGCACTGGAGAGAAAACGACGTGATCACATAAAAGACAGTTTTAGTAGTTTAAGAGATTCTGTGCCAGCCCTCAATGGAGAAAAAGTGGTAAGCCATTCCAGGATAAAAAGGTGCATTCATTTAATTGAACCAAAAAACTTGTTATACTCCAAATTCTGATATTTTGTTGTAAGAAAACAAACTTTAAACAGTACTTGAATATATTTTTCAAATAAATGATTGCACAATAATTTAAGCTTTGAAATATTCAGATTGTTGGGCAATTGGAAGGTTGTTTTTTTTTTGTAGGCAAGTAGAGCTCAAATTTTAAAGAAAGCAGCTGAATACATTCTTTTTATGAGGAAAAAAAATAGTTCCCATCAACAAGACATCGAAGATCTGAAGAGACAAAATAGCTTACTTGAAGCTCAAAGTAAGTTTCTTTTTACAATTACTTAATAAAAGACAAAAATTAGACAACTCAATACCACTTACACTATATAGAAATACTGCTTGAGTTAAAAAAAAGAAGTTCATTAGCTAATATGAATATACTATCGTTTTTTTTTGACAAAATATGTAACTTAAAATATAAACGTAAAACACGATTTATTAAAGATTCACATTTAAAAGTTTAGACTTCAAACCCAAGGAAAATATACGATGTGCCAGAATTTTGTTTACTGGCAATTTTTCTGTTATTTGAAAAGAAAAGAAGCAAAAAAACTGATTCCTGTCTTAATAAAGTACACTTCTAATTACACTCTAAAATATCTGTTATTTTTCAAATTTACTACTGTTTTAAGAATGGTTTTGATAATACCAGTATATATTGTATTATTATGTAAAAATTTTTAACCAACATGACAAAACATTATTTTTATTAATGTTAATTTAAATTAACCTAAAAATATAAAATATACTAAATATAATTTTTGGAGTGTTGACATTTCATAAAAAAAAATGGAAATGCCATTTCAGGAAAAAAGTTGGAGATGGTTTCTTAAGGTATATGAAAAATAACAGCAGCTTTAAGGTACCATTTGGGAAGGCGAGATTGAGTAAGGCGACAGGCATAAATCAACAGCTTAAAGCGATCCAAAACGGTCTCTTCACGTCTGAACACATGTAATTAAATGAAAAACATTTGTGGAGCGCGACCGATGCAAGAGAGGCGATAGCACTTTTAACACAGCAGTATTTTCTGCCTGTCGTCTTACTCGGTCTCGCCTTCCCTAATATTACATTTAGGGTGGAATTAGAAGCATATTTTCATGTGATTTAAAATTTTCTTTTTTACATCTTCTCAAATAAGAATAAATTGTATGTAAACAAAATTTTGGAACATCCATAGATGGATGGGGATTATTACTGTTCTGGTAAGACTTCATTATATAAATCTATAATTTGGATTGAAGTATATTATTTATTGATTCAGTATCTACTGACAATTTATTACAAAAAACAAGACCTTTAAAACATTTGGGTTTTATCAAGATCTTTTAAGTAAATTTTATTCTTTGATCTAGTTGGATAGCAGTGTTCATTCTAGTCAAATATTTTGCTGCTATCCTATTTTCATCTTGTCAATTATTCATTAGACATGGTCCTGATTGTCCCGCAGCTGAAGAACTTCTGGACAAATTATTTTTACTGTAACCATTGCAATGCTTGGTCCAATCTTTTGCTCTCCTGTCTATTTAAACAAATACTTATTTATGTAATAATTGGGTTATAGAAAATAACAGATCATTAGTAAAATTAATTAATCTATAAAAATCTAAAATCTTAAACTCAATGCTTATTTTATAGCAAAATAATACCATCCGTTCATATTTGATGACAAAATCAACAAGATTAAGAGGGATTTAGCATATCTTCCATAATCTAAGAAAATGATTGGTAACTCCAAAATTACAGTTGATAGTTTTAAAGTGAAAGATTTAAAGAGTAAAATTAATAATTAATCGAAGTGATCCTTTCAAAATAAACATATTAGTACCTGTTTGTAAGTTGAAAAATATGGGTGTAGATATGATTTATGAAATAAAACGGCAGAGTGGTCTTTGCCACCTTGCCTACCAAAACACCGTTAAATTATTTTGGACTTGTAACCATGGATTAATATAAAAAAAACATTAGATGATATTTTCACTTGTTTTTTGTATGATCATTTTTAATCATAAGCTCCCGTTCGCGGTGAGAATCCTGAACCAAATTATAACTAATGGTAACGATTTCGCATGTGATGTAGTTAAAAAACATTCACGGAACGAAAATAACTGAATTATTGGTTCTATCCTGTGTAAAATTATTATAAATTCTGAACTGCTTCTATTATACCTGAAATAACGAGATATAATAAGGGTTGTACGTGCGGTAAACATTCAGAATTGATAATGAACGGGCATGCGCTCAAAGTATGAATTATTAGTTCTGAATCAGTTCAGGATTCTTACCACTAATGAAGCAATAGAAATAGTATAGAAAGCCAATTCCTTATATAAAAAGTTTTATATTGATCGAACAAATAAGTGAACACACACGTTTCAGGTTGGAAGTCATGCATTTTTAGAAGAATTTTAAATGAAAAAAGATGAAACAAATTCAAGTAAATATGGTTCTGAAAGTCCTTATTAATAGACATATGGCATACAATATGAATTAGTCATATTTCGGCAATTATAAATACTTGTGATCTGACATCTTATATGTTTTCGATTTAGTGTTATTTGCTACAAGTAAATTTAATAAGGGGTATGCAAAATAGGGGACAGTTACGTTTCGCCCCCCTCATTAAAATGATGTTCGATATTTTTTTACATTTTACAATTAGACAGAAAACCTTTCATGTTGCCATTTTCAATATAAATTATCTAAAGATTCAATCTGCATGTCTCGAGATTCAAAATTAAAAATACTACTATATTTACTTGGAAATTGTTGCTTCTCCTCGGTACATATTTTATTTTAGTTTTGAACCCTTTTAACCACATTTATTTTGATTTTTGGTCAAAAAATTATCGGATTTTTTTATAAAGTGAAAATTTAGAACACGCTAGCATCTGAAACGAGCTTCAAAAATGATTGAGTAAATATAATGGTCGCCCGTGTCTCAGTCGAGCGCGTACAAAATTGCCAGTAAGGCGCGCTCGTCTCTGATACGGGCATGTACGTTAAGTGGGTCTTTCACTTCTATATAAAAGTTAGTTGCTGCTTACTAGAAACATCCTGTATAGTCTAAAACAATTTATGGATCGTTTTCGATCAATTTAATACAAAGACTTAAAGTTTTTAGTCTATGGTAACATTCCACATCAGCACATTGCGAAACTTTTTGTATATATGTAATCAAAACAAATCATATATAGGCTGTCCAGCCTTGGGGGTACTTTTTATATCTGACAAAGAGACGGATTTTGTTAAAAATTGTGTGATTCTATGACAATGCTAAAATTTCCGCACCTTTGCATTACACTTTTATGTCATGTCATCGAGAAAGTGGAACTAGTCGGTTTTGGTGAGAATAAATGCCATTTTTTTAAATAGCTTAATTTAAATGATATAAAAACATTTGCATTCCGTCAATCTTCAAATATAAAATTATCGACTTCAAATAAATCAAAGTACGATCCTAAGTGGCTATTTTTATATTGTCTCTACTTCATTCTATTTTGATGGTAAAAACAGTAAATACCATAGGTTTTGATCTTTCCATCTAAAATATTTTGAAAGTTCTATCATTTCTGCTTATACTGGAGATGTTCAAGATGAGTATAAGGAAATGAATAAGAATTCCGCTTATTTTAGGCTGGAGAATATAATGAAATAATAAAAAATAATGTATCCATTTAAAAAATTGATGATACTGATTTTTTGTTAAATCAAATTTTAAACGTGTTTTTTTCTTACTCTGTATAATAAAATACTACCTTCTTTATCATAATTGTATTAAAAAACTTTCCTATTTTAACTTTAACCAAAAATAAATATTTTAACATGTTGAGTATAGTGTGGCATTTAACGGATGCCTCATTGCTTGTCCATTTTGAGACGGCGGGGCATCAATATGATGCCACACTTGCCACAGTCAGAAAATTACCAAAGACGGCGTGGTTTCATAGTAACGCCTTGCTATAATGTTAAAAACATAGGGAACTCACTCTTAGCCATCTATAGTAATAGAAAAGTTTAGTTGGCCTTGAAAATAAGAGACACATTCTGTGGGGAAGCATCAACGTCAAGTAAGAAAAAAAAATTAAATATTTGACGAAAAATTTAAAAAAATTTAGTTGAAATATAAAATATATAAATTAGTTATCCGAGTAATATGATCGTCAAGAATTTCCCATCCTTTGACATGACTTTATTAACAATTTTAGCTATACATTTACTATATAAAGCGACCCTAACATTTCATGTCTCATTGATATCTGGGATAATAGAAGTGACATCTCATCTAAAATAAAAAATTTCACATCTACCTCTGATCTAAGCGGAAATAACAGAACTGTCAGAATATTTTAGATAGAAAGAGCATCACCTATTTACTATTTTTAGGAATTTTTAACTAAATCCGTTCATTGTTTTGTCAGATACAGATAGTGTCTCTCTGTCGCTGGACAGTTTATATATAAATATGCAGGTCTCCATTTACATAATTTTAGGTAGGTTTACATTTCTACATATAAATCTTATAATAAATATAACAGCTGCCAAATACATTGATTACATTTCCACTAGACAATGTAAAAATGTCTTGTTTTATTTGAATGTGTCATAAAACGTCGTTTTTTGGACAGAAAACATCGAAAAGGAGAACTTTTAAATGAACAGCTAAAAATACTTTTTCTGGTCCAGGCCGCAAAAGAAAGTGGCTCCGCTATCTTAAACATTTTGTTTTATTTTCAGTTTACCTAAATAAACTATAATTTAATCGATTTGACACCTAAGAACACTGACATGACAGCAATTGTTCAATTGTTTTCAAGAATATACCTATCTATTCTTATCGATGACAGCCATCTCATTTATAAAAAAAATTGGAAATAATACAATTTCGGATTTAACTTTCTACATTTTTTAATATCTACAAGCACATCTGAATAAAAAATAATGCATGAAACACGGACGAAAAGTATATCTTTTACAACTCAACTGTTCGTCCCTATAACAAACTACTATTATTGTACCTAGGATTTAACTTAACACTACACAAAACTAATATTAACAAATATTCAAACATGCCACTTTCACTGTGTAATTAAATAATAAACCACAAATTCAAGCCAAAATATCACAAATAGGAAACGGTCCTGTAATGGCAGCGTCATATAGCCTTGAAACTTCCGATCTTTACACATAAATATTATTAGTTGATTATTTAAATGTTTGTTATTTTTTAGGCGACTGTCAAAAAATTATTTTACGGATTTAATAACATACCTAAAGTGTCACTTTTTTGGCCGCATTTACTTTACGGCCGCTTTTTTATAAACAGATTTGTCATACTTATCGTTAGTAATTCTGTACAAATTTTATTAGTCAACAATGGATTTTTATTTGAACAATTAAAATTTTGAAACAATTCTTGCATTTAAGCCTCTTTTCAAAAACAAGAATGTTAAAAAAAAATATTGGCTCTACTTGATGAGACAGTCGCCTAAAAAATGTGTGCACCTCGGCCGTATGATCTTTTTTGGCCTAACCAGAAGTTGCTTGACTTAGGCTACGACTCGGCCGCAAATTTCTGATTCATCCAAAAAAGATCAACTTTACGGCCTTGGTACACAAATAACTATTGTGGCGATATTTCATAGACATAAACTGTTTAAATCATATAATTTAAAAATAAATTAGTTTGAAATTATTTTGTGTTGTTTATGTTTAATATACTTGGCATACAGTAACAAGTCATGCATACTGCGCATGCTTATAGCCACACTATTTTGCGATTTCCTGCACAGAGACGCATTTTTATGCACTGTAGGTTTCAATTTCTGCTTAAATGTTATATTTATATTGGTCTTCTATACTATTTCTATGTTTTTAATAAGGAATTTAAATTAAAGATACCTAGAAAATAAAAACTCAAAACAACCGTAAATCTAACCTAAATAAAAATCACCAACACAACAAAACCATTAAACTTTACATGCTTATGCACATGATATTGTAAACAGATGCTTCATTGTGTGTATCGAACTCTACTCTAACCAATTGTGGTTGAATTTGTAGATTTATTTCTTAAATTATCTCTATTTTCCAGTGGTCCATTCTGTATATATTTACACACCCATATGCTACATTGTGCTCCAATGACGATAGGTTATAGGTATTCATTAACATTTAGTTCTTCTATTTTCAAGATTGAATTCATTTAAAGATTAAACATAATTTGGTTATATACCTTTAAAAAACTTTTTTATGTTCTACAAACATTATTAAAAAAAAAAAAACTAAATATATGTCAAATTCAATGATTTGTTTTTTGTTAAAAGTTAACTGGTCATTGGAATACAAATTACGTCGCACTAATATAGTGTATTACAGTTTCGAAATGAACATTTTTGATTCACAATTTAAAAAAGTAAAAACTAGTTAAATATTTATTGATAAAACAAGAACATAATGAGTTTTATGAACTAAATGTAGTTTTTCCTCTAGTACGTACCTTAGAAAAAGCAAAATCAACAGGATCATTCAATCTTGATGCTGATATCAAGGATAGTGTCTTCAATGAAACTGAATCAGACACATCGGATATCGAAGGATCTTTGCAGCAAAGGAGACCGAAAAAAATGAAAGTTGGATCTTACCATTAAACAGGAACTATGAAATAAGTAAGAATTTCAAACTGTGAAGAAATATTGTAAAAATCAGATATTTCCGTTTGGACAAAAAGGTTAAATGTCAAAAAAACTCATTTTAAAATGTTCAAATGTTTAATGAAAATATAGTTTTATACTTTTATAGTAGGTAATTGACATTTTAGTATTAAATTGAAAGTATAAAAAAAGTTGGCACACAATATACATGAGTTGACCTTATTATGTATTTAATTTATATTTTCATTAATATATTTTCAAATTAAAAACGCTCAAGTGTTAATAATCAGATATTGAAAAATAGCTCGAAAAGTTTGATTAGAATTTCGAGAACCTCATACAAATAAAACATACAATGTCAGTCAAGGTCATTTTGAATGTATGGTGTTCTTATGTTAAATTTAATTTTTGTAGGTGAACCTTCTGAAGATACAATCATATTTGTCATCTTGTGTCCTAAAACGTTAAGGATAAGCATCACTTATTTTTAGATAGCTTTCTATTGGGACTTTTGTGATTGTTTTAGTGTACATGTGAACTTGGTCCCATAAGTGACCTGTATTTTTGTTATATTTTTATCAATTAAATTTTTATTTAAGGATGTTCAGCCTTGTAAGATGCTTGTATAAGTTGTTATTTCATTGAAATGACGTTTGTAGTTTTAATACAAACTCATGGATAATATATAATATTAAAATAATTTATAGTTATGAAGTTTTTTATTCCTTTTTTAATAAATAAATGTATTAACAATTATTTGTTTTTTTTTAAATTACTTCATTTTCTCATCAATCAAAAAATATCTGGAATCCTGCTCATATCTAGGTGATATGTTTGCAAATTAACTTTGAAAAGTTATGTACCTTATTATTAAACTGGGAGAAGCAATTTGAATTTTCGCGCCTGAGTGGTTATTTGTCTGACAAGTTTACATAGACCAAAATATCTATGATCGATAACTGTAAAAATTAAAATATCAATGCTTATTTCGTGATTTATTCTGTCTAATTACCTATTATTAATCCAAAATCCAATAAATCAGTGTATTTCAGGACTAACTAGACAATGGACTATAACATAGCATCGAAATTTTCAAACTTATTTACATACTTAGAAACACTCAATAAACCATTTTTGATTAAATTTCCCACCTAAATTCACCATATATAATAACTACACGTTGTTACAATGGTTGCAAATATTGTACCGCGAAGACAAATATTTTCAATTAATTTGTGTTTTCTTCTCGTAATGCATATATCACTTCAGAGGTTTGTTTTTTGTTCTAGTTGTCTTATTTGGCTTTTGTGGATGTTTTTAAATTAGCTGAATCTCCTTTCACAAATCCAGGATTCATGTTCAATTCTTAAAAAAAAAATTATATACAGAATTGTATGGATTAATTTTAGTATCAAACTGTCATATGAAATTTCTGACACTTGGTTTATTAGGGAATATAATAATGTTGCAAATATTTTAAATGCGAGAGGGTACCGCCTAAATGCAATCAAGGGATTTGTAACCAATTTTACTGCTGTTACATATACTAATCATTTCTAATTACGGACACATGTAATTTAAAACTAATTGCCTATCCGAGTAAAAAATAATGGCTTGGAATGTCTTATTATGTAGCTTATTATTTATTTAACATACACAAACAACTAATATTGAGAAAAATATAAATAAAATAAACCTATAGAAAAAAATGCATAAATAAACACATTGTAATTTAGAACAGAAGTAAAAGTTGGAAAGACTTTTGCCAGTTCTCCCACTTTATACACATAAATTGACAGGTTTGCTGCGGATCTCACCCAATGAGGTTGAATACTATGGAGATGACATGCCAAAAAAAACGACACCCCTTCCCCCTCTCTTAGTGGTCATGTCATAGTTGTCAAAGAGCTGTCAGAACTTTGTTCAAATTTAAATATTTCGACGTTATTTCTATCTTAATAAGTGTTTTTTTTTTTATTAATTTGTATAAAAATCATGACTAAGTGTGCCAAAATTAATTGTAAAAACTCTTCAATGAAAGAGCGTAAGAAAATATCTAATTTAAGTTTTCATAAGTAAGTATAAGGAGTGTAGTTAGAATTTTTTTAGAATGCTTAACTTTTTTTATTATAGGTTTCCAAAATACCCACAATATCTCAAAACTTGGTCTTAATTTGTGGGAAAAGACCAATTTGAGCCTAAACCGAATAGCATGTTGTGCTCTATTCACTTCAAGGAAGAATTTTTTGATAAGAGTGAGTTTAGGGTCAGATTGAAGAAGAATGCTGTTCCGACAATAAATGAATGTTTAGTTAGTATACACTCTATTTACAATAAAACTTAAATAACTAACTTAATAAAGAACCTTGGCTTGACTAAATTTATAATAAAGACAAATATCTATATTAAAACTTAGATAACTATAATAAAACTTAAATAACTAACTTTATAATTAAACTTAAAACCAACTATAATTAAACTTAAAAACCAACTTATAATTACACTTAAATGACTAACTTTTTAAATAACACATAATTTAGAATAAAATTTCAAGTATTTAAAAATTATGAAAGACTAAGAAAAAAATATCACTTGATATCATCAGCACATTAGTTTTAAAAGAATTCATAAATTCTAATGTCTTTTCGAATATTATGCAGCACAGTTTGGACCAGTTTGTGTTGGATAATCATAGAATATTATTAATCAAGTGCATAGTTGATAAATATGTTAGTATCCGACTAACATATCTCACTAAAACTAGAGTTAATAAAGCTGCTAGCATAAGACATCAAAACAACAAAATAGTGTTGTTTAAAAGTCAATAAATATTTTTTTAAATAATAAATTTTTTTTTGTAGTGTCTTATTAAGAATGGGACACAGAAAAACTGAAGAGTTACCTATAATTTTACCAAATTTGGCAAAAGTTTTTGGTGTCATAAGATACGTTACACTTATTTGAACTATAATTATATATTTTTTGATGTTTTTTAAGTAAATCATATAGGAACTTATAAGAAACTTCAAAATTAAAATGAAGAATATTCGCATTCTAAGCATAGTCTTATTTTTAATCAGACTCTTCAGTTGTTCTGTATCCCTTACTCAATGAGACACCTTGTATATAAACTTCCCACTTGAACAATTTTATATTTTTCAAGTATGTACAATACAGGTGTATCAGAAATTAAAGCAAAAAGACAACTTATAACAAAGGTTTAAATTTAGTAATGTCAAGTCATCCTTGCACCCTAAAAAAGTACCGATGAAGAAATTATTCCACCAATGCAACCAAACAGTTATTTTTAGGATAAGATTTTGTGTCAAATGTTATCCACAGCCACAGGGTTTCTTTTTAAATGGCATGACATTCAAAATTTTGGTCAAAACAATTTTCATTATGCACTTTTCTTGGAAATTCACAATGCTTTATTAGGATTAAAAACACGAGTTTCTAGAAACTTTTTCACTATAACGCTAACATTACTGATCAGAAAAAGTGGTTAAAGTTTTCTTTTTGTAATCACAAATCGCAACTGAATGCCTATTTTTAAAATAAATTATCTCTATAATTCCATTTGTATAGTTGTATGCTGTGCATCTGTGAGATTGTTGTTTATTATACATAGGTACCAATTATAGAAATCTTTAGTAAGTACTTTTAGTAATATATCGCACACTTAGTAATACAGTGGCATAACTCGAAATTTGCATGTTTAAACCTTTAATAGTATAAGGACCCAAAATGGCGCTCTCCATGTGTAGAGCTTTTCAAATAACGGTATTACTCCATCACAGTCATTTAAAAATGTACCTACCCTATATAATTATTTCAAACCTAAATAAAACCAACAACTAATATCTGAGTCTTTTTAGTTCCGATTGGTTTTGACAGAGTAGTTTTGATCATGGTTTTCTTCCACCTACTTTTAACCATAAAGTCATACCTAGCTGAATTTTTAAACTTGACTGTAGCGGGTCATATTTTTAATGTATGTCATCTGCAGCAGAAAGACCTACATGTTTTACATTTAAAAGTAATTAATTGTCCTTTCTACAAACTCGGCTGTATTTTTACTGAAATATATTTATTCACAATTCACGTAGTGGTTTGGTTTTTGGTTTGGTAATTTGATGTCATAATTCTCCTCATTGTCAGATTTTGACATTGGCAGCTTTGATCAACACAAGAGAGTCCTTGAACGAAAAATCGTAGTTCGGGTTTTAGTTTTAAAGCACAAAGAGATTAACAAATCTGATGCACAGTGTTATTCGAACGTTGATTTTCGATCACACATGTCATATATTGGACGGTTTCGGCGAAGACAGAACAATATAATAATATTAATCTCTTTTATGGTCTTGGCATTGGCTTGGTCGGAAAACGGTTAATAAATAATAGTAAATAGTGTAGAAGTCATAATTGCGCAATGTCATCAAATTAATTTCGAATCGATCATGTTGAAACAAATCTTAGGTAAGTAAGTCATTTAAAAGTTGTAATTCTGCATACGGACTTTAATTATATTTGAATACGACCCTGCTTAGTCAACCATTTAAGCCACGCCCAGTGGGGTAATTTTTTGCAAAACAATTGCCTCATGGCATCTCCATTATCTCACTGAAGAGGACGCGATACATTGGCGTACAAAATTATTTTATAGATGTTAATCACAATTTCCAGTAAAAAGTTTAATAAATTGTGAATAGCTGTTGAAATTTTGTAAAATTATGATTTGAATATTATAATACATGTTTAATAATTACAGTCCATAAATACATGCGATTGTCCGGTTCCGCCGATAACAATTTAAAATTACTTATTCTATAAAACGACACTGGCAGGTAAACATTACTGCGAAATTCTCGAAGCCGTCCGACGTGGTTTGACGTTTACCCCCTCTACCTACCAAAAGCCTTTCCAACTTTTACTTTACCTATAAATGTAAGTGGAATAAGTACTTCAGCGAGTAAAAATTGAATTTTTTTTATTAAAATTTTCAATTTTTACGCTGAAGTACTCATTTAATAGTAGTCTACTTGTACATTGTTATCTGCCAATATGAGATGTTCTGAATTTATAATAATTTTACATATTTCAATTTTTCAGTTCTTCCTATATATGTCATGTATGTATTGTAATATGCTTATTTTCTAAAAACAAACAAAACTCGTATCAAATTGAAATACTCTACAAATTACAATGAATTGGACAAGGTATAATAGGACCACTCGAGAAAAAAAGACTGCTGTATCACCTTACCTATTCTGTGGCCTGGCACACGGTACCTACGTCTTCCACCTTACTCCCATTTTGCTTGTTATGACCATGTTGGAACGCCGGTTCAATTCCTGATGGAAGCATCTTTTTTTTTTTTATTTTGGAAAAATTAAAATTAAAAAAATACGACTGCATTTTATTTATCATAATATACCCCCTACAATTAATCTTATCGCTATTTTTTGTACTATTTTTATTACTGTTTAGATAAAATGGTGAGTAGGTAAGTGGGTAATCATCTTTAATAATAAGAAAATTCATGTTCACGGTTATTATCTCATAATTTGTTATTTTTTATAAACTAATGAAAACCCATAATTGTATTGTAATGTTTTATGTACCTAATGTTATTTTTATCAACCTATGAAAGTGTTTGTAAATAGAATCACAATGTTTTTAATTTTGACAAAACACTTTAAAATTATTC